TACTCCTGACGGCCACGTTTCGCAGCCGTAAAGTAGAACAGAGCGAACTGCAGCGCAGTATACTCGTCTCTTAATTGATAAACGGATATCTCTCCTTCGCCACAGGTGACGTAAGCTGGCAAAAACCAAACGAGGTTTCTGAATCCGTGCTGAGATTTCGTCAGACACCAACCCATTAGGATTGATCAAACTTCCAGGATAAGTGTTGTCGACGCGTTCAACTACTTCACTTCCTATCCTTAGTTCAGGTGTCTATGCAGGCCAGTTCTGAAGCAACAACTTGCACTTGCAGGGTTAGAAAAGCATCCCAAATGTCCTGGCATTGTCGCTCAGTGCTACCAAGACCCTGCATTTTATCAGCGTATTCAACAAACAGGACTAGGTCATCCACGTTTTCTAAATCAATAAGTAAACCCTCTGGTAGGAGATTAATTCCTAAAAGTTCAGACGACGAGAAAGATATTTCCAGCAGTAGGTCGATGATGAAATCGAACAAAAATGAAGATAGTGGACAGCCTTGCCTGACACCACTCGAGGTTGCCAAATAAGATGACAGTTAGCCATAAGCTCTCACTCGACTTGTAGTGCTCAAGTAAATATCCCTGACAAGGTCTATATAATTCTGAAGTACGCCTTTCAATGACACACTGTCGCAGAACCTCTTGGTCTACAAAGTCAAATGCTGCTTTTAAGTCAAGAAAGACCACCATTGTCGGACGCCGATAAGCATACCTCTGCTCTAAAACCTGACGAATAGTGAATATGTGGTCGATGCAGCCACGATCAGGTTTGAAACCAGCGTGATTTTCTCGTGTTTGCAGTTCACGGGTCTTAGTTAGGTGCCCGATAATTATTAAGGCTGATACTTTAGATGTTATATTAGTGAAAATAATCCCTCTGGTTATTACAGGGTGATTTTGACCCCTTCTGATACATTGGTTAGTCAGTCAGTCAGTCAGCTACAACATAGGACCGGGCACATATATGCATCAGTCCAAGTTACCATACCTCGTTAGCACAACAAGATGAACACCGGATTCATAGAAGTAGTTAATTTAGTGGTGGTAATATATAAGAGAAAGGTTGTATATAAGGATATAGTATAGGAAGGCAGATATGATGCAATTTTAATCTCAAGGTTTAAGGGAAGATAAAGAGTGTATACACCTGCGCTATTGTGATCGATTCTGAGCCATGTCACACAGTCTCCAACCATTGGTTACGATAGTCACGCGGACAATCAATGATTGCGACCAGTCAGATGGGATTACATCCAAATCCCAGATGTTAGCTAAAACATTAGTCAACTTAATTGCTAAAACTGGACCATCATACTTAAAGACCACTGGAGCCAATCCATCTGGACCAGCTACTCTTCCTCGTTCCAGATTAGCTATGGCCTTTTGAAATTTAATTAGAGTCGGGGCACCTACTTCAGTGTTTCATTCAGGCTGTTGGGGAATGGTGACTAGTTGTAGAGTAGCTGAAGACCAGCTGATTTATTTATTTAAACACATAAGCATTGGTACAAGGAGGCACCAAACATATATGAGCCACATAAACTATTCGATTTGTGTAGGGGCTGTGATACTCCAACTTGCGTCATTTATGACTTAGGCGAGATGTTCGTCTACCAAACAAAGGACGAGTTTGCTGCGCAACAGTTCGTTCTGTCCTACTTTATGGCAGTGAAACATGAACAGTAAAAGTAGAGGATATTCGTACTACTACTACTACTAGTATTCGATCACAGGTGTCTTCGAAGCATTGCTCGTATATCCTGGGACAACCACCGAGTAAGTAATGCAGTTGTTAGGAAACGGGTACTAGGTAAGGATGCGAATCGATTGATGAAGTAGTGACACATCATCAGTTGAGATGTCTGGAACATATGTTGCGTATGCCCAACCACCGACTGCCCCGACGTGCGATGTTTCATGGTGTAGGAGTAGGTTGGAAGAAATCCAGGGGCGGCCAGACCAAAACATGGAACAAATCAATGAATTCACTGACAATTGTACTGAGCCATGTTGGTAGGTGTATCCCAGCTCTCACACAAATTGAATGATTTATGTGACTCATATCTATTTGTCGCTTTCTTGTACCAATGTTTATGTGTTTAAATAAACAAATATGATGCTGCCCGTGTGCCCACACCGAAGTTTTCTTGAGGGGCCACACCCGGAGCCTTTGACCCTAAAGGTCTAATCCACAAGGTAGTCGGGTAACTTAGGGAGATGCAGTCCCATGGTAGCCGGTGATCAACGATTGGTTCATATGCCATTCGCTCCTTAAGCATCCTGGAGCCTATGTGCACCATTGGTTTGGAATCAGGGTTTTCCAACTGCCTTAGGTGGACCCTCCGTGTCCACCGACCCGGTTAAAGCGTCAGACATTTGCTTTCCGTTTTCTCAATTTCGTGAACAATAACCCCGCCGCGAGAAGGCAGTGAGTATGACTTATTTGGCAGTAGATGTATGCACGTGGCCATATGAGAGCATTTCGAGAGGGAGAGCTGACTTTTCCCACTCTCGGCCGCACCAGGGCATTTGGGGGCTGAACTGCTCCTTAATGCGTTCCACTCGTAGCTCTAAACATCTGGGCTGAGAGCATATAAGTGTCATGTTTATAAAAATTAGTCTTACTTACCCTTAATTTCTTAATTACAGTCTCATTTATCAGTCTGAAAAGCTGTCTGATGTCGCCTACAATCGCTGCTTTTTACATCTATTTTGCTTTCGTTGTCCACCACCGCTCACGGCCGTTTCTTAGACTTTTGGTTAACCTAGATCTGACTTGTTTTCACTCTTTATTGTGTTCGCAGTCTTATGTGATGAGTTTACGAGAAGCTATTTATGCAATAGACTTAGTAGAAATCCACTGGTTTTCCGCAACCATATTCAAATCGCCAGTAGATGCCGCTGCTATTTCCACAGCTGTTTATTTATTTTTCCAAGCAACATCTGGGTCAGTCCCGTTTTCAGAATTGCCTAGATGTGAACTCAGTTGTTCTTGAAACTTACTTTTGGCTTTCTCGTCCTCCAGTTCAATTGTAATCGGTTTTCTTAGGCTACTTTTTCTGCCTTCAGTGAGGCTCAGACAGATTCGTGCTCGCATTAAAGCGTGATCATAGTCAAAATATGTATTCCAATACAAGCAACAATCTTCTATCGAACATCTCCAACGATGACTGATGGCAATATGGTCTACTTGAGTCCATCGTTGGTTTGGTGCAGGTGGTTGCCATGTTAGACGATGTCTCTCTCTCCTTATGCCATTAATAATAATAATAATGCTCAAAATTAGTGCTTGCTAAAAATAAACGATTGTCTGAGCATAGTTGCAACAGATGGTCACCATTATCTGTTCGCTGAGCTGGAATACTAAAATACCCACTTGAATGTCTTTCTGTTTGGTTTAAGCTACGTACTTGGGCGAGTGCTATGTCTGAGCGATTAGCTTCATGAAGAAGTTCATAGAGCTCTCTATAAAAGTCATCTTTCACTTCATCCGGGCTGCAGTCAGTGGGAGCGTAGGCAGAAACGACGAAAAGGCAACGACGTGTGTCCCTACCCTTCAGAGTTCTTACGGAGCCATGTAGCCGAACAGCACACAGGCGACTGTTAACGGGGATCCATTCTAGTAGTGCTTGTTCTGCCCTTGTACTAAGTGCTATGCCTACACCTGCCAGTTCACGAGAACTAGCCATTGGGTCGCCAGATACACGGAGGTTGTATCTCGTCAGTTCTCCGTTTTGGCGAGATGAGGTCAAGTGAATGACCCCACTAGGATCCTTTATGGGTGTTTCGGAGACACGGCATGCATCGATGGCGTATCAGCCATGAGGGCCGATTTGACATAAGTTACGTACGTCGAGGGCTCCAATATGCAGCTCAAAACGAGGTTTTAATAGACCTGAGACAGTATTTCACTCACCAGAATCGTTGACCATGGTGACATTCGAGTAGGAAGTCGAAAGGGGAAGTATGGAGTTGATAATCGAGGTAGGAGGATCAGTAGGAATTGAAGAGAGAAACTGATTACGAATATAGTGATCTTGAGTGCTGTTAGAGACATGAGGGTGTTATCACTTCCCGGTTGCCCACACTGTGAAAGGGTTCTAGAGGCAGCCGGAAAGATAATCGGGTTAGAAGTGGTCTTAGTGACATGAGAGCGTGACTACAGTTCCCAAGGGACAACTGCTTGGGAACAATCACACACGACCAGTTTGTGGGTATTTCTGTGTTAGCTCCGTGCTTGTTGAGACCTTACCGCCGGAGAAAGAAATTCGAGAGACAAAGCAAGGTGTGCATTTTAGGGTCGATGTTTTCAATTCTACCCCTCCTTTATGGGAAGGCAGCAACGCTGTTATACTGGTTGTCTGAAGGAAACGCCTTACTGCCGTCACACCTCTGTACAGTCGTAGTACGGATCCAACCTCGGACTTTGGGTCTGCTGATTTCAGTCTTACCGCTTTTCGAGTGACCTGCCCTGAATGATAGGACCGTGAGGAACCATTGTTCCAATCAGTATAGTCCGAATATTTCAGCACAATAAGCGGGACCGACCACCACACCAAGGTAGCAGCAACGGTCGGGTTATCATCAAAGCGTATCTATGCAAGCAGGGTTTATTATGTTATTTGATTTGGACTGGATCTTGTGCGATTATTTGAACTGTGCTTTTGTCTGTTTTGTGTGTGCCGATGTACATTAGTTTGCATAGGTCTACCGCTCACGAACAATTTCCCTCCACTATTTGTTTCTAAGAAGTATCGTACTCATCTATATTCTTCTAGCTGACTGACGGGCAGGATTAGAAACACAGGGTAACGTTAGTCCCCAAACGTATGAACACACTTAGCTTATCATGGTACTTTGAGATTTGTGGTGTGCTTTTACTTTTATGTGATCGCTGACCTAAAACTCTTAAACTACAGAATTGTGGTAAACTAATTCCTGACTTTCATGCTTTGAATCGCGAAACGACAACCATTGAAGACTAGAAGCATTGGACGGTCAGTATGTCCTAATTTGGGACATCACAGAAGTGCACTTATCCGGCCTCGCATGCCAAAGTCCAACTTAAGACCTTAAGTTCCGCGCGCGAATACTGTCTCCAAGCGTTATCCAACGGTTTTAATGTTTAGCTTTAATCAGTCCGTGGTTCAAACTGTGAAAATTCTGCAATCACAAATACACCAATACCAATAAGTTGTAGCTATCTAACAGGACTATTGAAATTATTTTTAATGACTAGTGACCTTAAACTTTCATGAACGTTGGCTTTTTATGTTAAGTAATAAAGTCAAACCTAAAAATGGTGGTATTATTTTGTGACTAGTGATACAAGAGTCTTTTTAAGTTTTTGTTAAAAATACGTACACTTTATAAATAAGACAGAAGTAGAGTAAACATTATCTGACTTTACTCAGTATCTTGAACTACTGTTTTTCAAGATCCCGCATGTTTTTTTTACTAAAATCTAAACATTCAAAGCGATCACCTTATTTTCACAAACATACTAGAAGTATGAAAATATAAACTTAAAACGTATGCTAGTAAATTTTATTTCATAAAATTAGCAGATGGTTTCTTTCTTCTGTTTTTACTTAAGTAAGTAAACTGGTTTCTTCATTTTCATTTCGGGTTCGATCACAATAGAACTGTTAATAAGTGATCGTTTACTTCTTCCTTATACTTATATTTTCCTGAACTAAAAACGGTTTATTTTATCTTATTTTTTCACTTTTGTTGATTCTCTATTCTTATACGACGTGTGAAACCTTGAACCCAGAAATCTTTGTGTAGAATTATGTTTGTATATTTGTTTTTCTAGTTATCTGTTCAGTAAATAACTATATGCTTATATTTCCCTATTGTGGTGCTTTTTATGGAAAACTATACCTACCAGTAATCACATAAAAGGCATGAATCAATTTTTGAGTTGAAATATTTTGGACGGTAGGCTTATTGGAATAATTTTTTGTTCTAGAAATAATGTAGAATGTTATAATCAAAAAACCTGTTCCATGTAGCATTTTTCAATTTAAAAAATTATTTGGGAAAGTTGCCCTGAAAGGGATATTTAAGTAACGATTGAGTATTTCCAAATGAAACATCTTAAAAATACATTTTAATTCTTAAACATGGCCGTATTTTTATCAAAAAGTTTTAGTGATTGATTTGTAGAAACTGTTTTCTTTGGTGGTCTATCAACTCTTCCAAATGTTGAGCTCTCTGATTGGCTGCATCCAATTCACGATCCTTCTTCTCAATTTCATTTTGAAAGCTCTCTCGGAATACGGCAAATTTTTCCTCTTTCTTTTTGATGATCTCTTTAATTCTATAAAAGGTAAAAAAAATTTTGTCTGCTTTACGGAGATAGATTTATTGTTCACTTATAAAACTACATTCTATGTGGAACATTGCCTTTCATCCTCTTTACAAACATATATTTACCTATAACTGCAAGTTATACTCAAGACACTTGGCGGTGCAGTGTTTGCAAAACAATTGGTTGTATTATGTTAGATCAAGCAACAAGAACTTCTTCCTTCTAACAGTTTAATTTCATTAAGTAAACTACTTTCACTTTTTAAATCGTGGGTTGCAGAGGAATCCACGATGCGCGTTTCATCCTATTCAAGATTCGTCAACGAGATCTACTTGCATCCCAGCCTGGACTTTCAGACTAAGACTCGAACCCAGTATATATTGCTTTAAATTCCAAAGGCCTATCCAATAAGCTGCTGAATTTAGTTGACCCAGTTCAACGTATATGGATTCATTTTTAGGAGTCTGTATTATCCTATTATTATTATTACAAAAAAATCCAAGTCATAAGTCAAACGTTCATCCAAACATACTAAAATCTAAGACAAAGGTAATGTCGAGGCAACCCCCTCAGGTTGCACACATCTAAATAGAATCTGACTAGTAGGGATCCTTTATACCAACAAAAGCAAATACAAATATTTTCACTTTTCACATGAAAATGGAATATAACAAAAATGCGAAAATTAAAATCCAACGTTCCTCAGTTTTAAATGCATGCTGCAGACAAAAAACTGTCGCTAACTCATCACCAAAGTTTATGGCACAGCACCTTGTCAGCGCTTTTTCAAGCATCTAATACCAGGTCTCATGAATAACATGAAATAATAGGGTTATCAACAAAAAAAATAGAAAAAACAAACGATGAAACTCAAAATCAAAGTTTGCCATTACTTTTGGTGAACTGTTTCTATTTCCGAGTTGTTCAATTTCTTAATAGCATCAATCTCTTTTTCATGTCTTTCTTCTTCAGCTTTTAAATGGGCCTTGAGTTCGGCTAACTCACGTTTCATCGACCTATTTTCTTCTTCTACGTAAACAAGGTGATCAGCAAATTCCTGACGTATTACATCTGAAAGGTTTTGGCGTTCTTGGTTAAGTTTTTCGTATAACAAGCGAACTTCAGCTAACTCATGATCTTTCTGCGTCAACTGTGACCGAAGTCTATCTGCTTCATGCTCTTTATCTAAAAATTGAGTCTATAAAGAGATGAATACAAGAGATAAATGTTTACTGTTGTGTTTTTATAAAACTCTGTTGCAAGTAGTTCGCTGATGTGAAAAGTAGTTTTTGGTCACAAAAATCTCTGTATCCATCAATGAATAGAGCTCTTTATCGAACTGAAAGGTTAAACTTCACAAATAAAATGTATCTGGCCTAAAAGTATACGGATATTTATCAGTCGGTGAACTTAAATTTCTAATTCATCAATAGGTTGCAAGTAAACTAATAGTAATCATAGATTTTACAGTGGTAAAATTTTACAGACCTTCATCAGACAGTATTTCTCCATTGCTTGTCTCTCTGATCGTTCAAGTTCCTCGATTTCAGCTTGGAATTTTTCACGTACACGTCTGAAGTAAAAAAGGAATAAATTGAACTGGTTTAAAAATGTGAACTTACTTCAACTTCAGCTCCGCCTGACGATCAGTTTCTAACCTTGCTTCATTTGCTTCAGCTTCAAGGCGATGGACTGCAGATTCTAACAAGCGATCTCGTTCTTTCTTGAGTTGTTCCTTCAATAAAGTCTCTCTAGATATATACTGGGATTCTAATAATGATTTAGTATGTTCTTCCCATGCTGTACGTTCAGCCAAATTACGTTGATTCAACTCAGCTATTTCATCCTTGGAAATATGTAAAAAAGGGGGAGTGGGGGAAAGAATTTATTTACTTTATAATTTTATGAATTCCCGTCCTCAGTAGTGCGATAGAGAGAGATTGGAATCCACACCAAAATGAAGTGCCTAGGGAAGCTTACAGTTGTTTTATGTACATTTGCTTTTCTCTTCAAAAAATCAGGTATAGACCATTGTGCCAGTCTGTAACAGATTATGGAAAGCATTATGGACTGGACACATTTCTCTCTTGAATAATCGTTCCCGACCGTTTACAACAAGTGCACACGTATTTCAGGGCAATGGACGAAAACATTTTCGATAAACTTGAATCCGATTTTGGTGAATTAATGATGGACTCAAAATGTTAACAAAGGCTAGGTAGTTTTGTGTCCCGAATGTCTGGTAATGCAAGTTCATACCTTTCCCAGATGGTCCTTCGGCTCGAGAGTTTCATGCTTTCTATGGTAATTATTTTCGGTGCATGAAAATTTCTTGAATACCCCCTTACTCATCTATATACTTCTCTTATCCATCCAAAAAGTAATTTCAGCCGGTTGAAGAAAGGTTTGTAATCAGAACAATAAAACTAATGGTTCTAGATTGCCAGTATCAAAGTGTAGTCATAGCTGCTGTCTGGTAAGTTTATTTTTAATACTTACTTACTTACGCCTGTTACCCCTCGTGGAGTAGCATAGGCCACTCATCAGCATTCTGTGCAACATTGTCCTGGGTAATCCTTTCCAGTTGCTATTCATCTTTTTCATGTCTGATTTCCATTCCCGAGGTAGTATGTCCTTCAGCCTTCCTCTTTTTCGTTTCCCTTCACGATTCCATGTAAGCGCTTGCCTCATGATGCAGTTCGGTGATTTCTTCAATGTATATCCGATCCACTTCCAATGTTTTTTCCTAATTTCCTCTTCAACTGGAAGCTGGTTTGTCATCTCCCATACAACGCTGTTGCTGATGGTATTCGGTCAACAGACACTGATTATCTTGCGTAGACATCTGTTTATAAATACTTGTACCTTTTTGATTGCGTTTTAAGTAGTTCTTCACATCTCAGCTCCGTACACTATGACTGTCTTGACGTTCGTATTGAAGATTCTGACTTTAATGCTGGCTGACAGTTGTTTTGATTTCCATATGTTCTTCGATTGCAATAATGAGGCCCTTGCTTTGCCAATTCTTTTCTTTACATCTACATTAGATCCTTTTTGTTCATCGGTGTTGCTTCTCAGATACGTGAATGTTTCCACATCTTCCAGTGCTTCTCCATCAAGTGTGGTTGGGATGGTGTTCTGTTTGTTATATTTAGGGCTCTTGCTTTCTGCTTTGTGTATGTTGAGTCCTACTGATTCAGAGACTACTACTGCACTGGTTGTCTTCAACTGCATTTGTAGGTGTATATGTTGTAGAGAAGCTAGGTCATCTGAGAAGTCCAAATCATCTCGTTGCATCCAACCTGTTCATTGTATTCTGTGTTTCTTGTCAGATGTGAATGTCTTCATAATTCGGTCGACCAACGGAAGAAAGGGAAAGGGGGAAGGTAAGCAGCTTTATCTGACTCCGGTCCTCCATTGGAATGCACCTGTCGGCTGTTCTCCATGCACGAATTTGCAAAGCAGTCCGTCGTATGAATTTCGTATGATTTTGACGATCCTCTCAGGTTCACCTTAGTGTCAAAGAATTTTCCTTAATTTTCTCCTATCCACGCTGTCAAATGATTTTTCATAGTTAAGGAAGATGATAACTCCGCCCGTAGCTCTTCTAGAGTTACTGCCGGACCCAAGCCCGGATAAATGAGGAGCGTTAGGCATGGTTTAGCGACCCTATCCCGTAGAAAACTAACTCGCTAAAAAAACGCTAACCAGAACAAATAATTAAAACCATTTAAACTCTGCCCTCATGATGAAAACCGAGATCCTTCGGAAGTCACGAGACCGATGCACCTTCTAACAACCAGAACAACACTCTTTATATGTACATGGAACGTCCGGACAATGTGGGAGACCGGGAAGACCAGTCAAATACCAATGGAAATGAGGAGATACAAATTAGAAGTACTTGGAATTAGCGAAATTTATTGAACCCAAGCTGAATAACAAAGGTTAGGTACAGGAAAGATGCTTCTGTACTCCGGTCACGAAGAGGAAAATGATACACACACTCAGGGAGTTGCTCCAATTCTGTCCAAAGAAGCACGAAATGCACTTGTGGGATGGGAATCTCATGGACCCAAGATAATCAAAGCACCATTCAGAACAAAGAAGCAAGGGATCACAATGAATGTTATCCAATGTTATGCACCCACAAATGATAGCAACGACGATGATAAAGATCAATTATATGACAGGCTTCAATCAATCATAGCTAAGTGCTCAAGAAAGGACCTCACCATCCTGATGGGAGATCTAAATGCTAAAGTCGGAGTGGACAACACAGGATATTAAGATATAATTGAACGACATGGACTAGGGGAGAGAAATGAAAATGGAAATAGATTTGCAAATCAATGTGCATTCAACAAATTGATAATAGACGACACAATATTTCCACGTAAACGCATACACAAAGCTACATGGATCTCACCGAACCAAATCACAGACAACCAGATAGATCACATCTGTATCAACAAAAAATTCCGAAGATCAATGGAAGATGTGAGAACTAGAAGAGGAGCTGATATAGCTTCAGATCACCACCTGGTTGTGGCCAAGATGAGACTGAAGCTTAAGAAACACTGGACAACTGGGGGAACAGTATTACAAAGGTTCAATACAGCCTTCCTTCGAGATACTGAGAAGCTCAACGAATCGAAGATAACTCTCAACAACAGGTTCCAAGCTCTACAGGATCTATTGAATGAACAAGAAACTACTTTGAAGAACAACTGGAAAGGGATAAAAGAAGCACTAACTTCAACGTGTCAGGAGGTTCTTGGTCCTAAGAAGCATCATCACAAGGAATGAATCTCTATGGGAACCCTGGACAAAATTCAAGAAAGGAAGAACAAGAAGACAGCAATTAATACCAGCCGAACACGGGCAGAGAAAGTCAAAGCACAAGCAGACTACGCAGAAGCAAACAAGGAAGTGAAGAAAAGCATTAAAGCCGACAAGCAGAAATACATGGGAGAACTAGCAACGACGGCGGAAAAAGTTGCAAGAGAAGGGAATTTGAAACAACTATATGATACAACAAAGAAATTGGCAGGGAGATATAGCAAACCAGAGAGACCAGTCAAGGACAAAGAAGGAAAGACAATCACTGAGATTCAAGAACAGAGGAAAAGATGGGCAGAATACTTCGAGGAGCTGCTGAATAGACCAGCCCCATTGAATCCACCGGACATCGAAGCAGCCCACACAGACCTTCCAATAGATGTCACTCCACCAACGATCGAAGAAGTCAAGATGGCCATCAGACAAATCAAAAGTTGGAAGGCGGTAGGACCTGACAATATACCAGCAAAAGCACTGAAGTCAGACATTGAAATAACTGCAAACATGCTTCACCTTCTATTCAAGAAGATTTGGGAAGAGGAACAAGTGCCAATGGACTGGAAAGAAGGATATCTCATCAAGATACCAAAGAAAGGAGATCTGAGCAAATGTGAGAACTACAGAGGCATCAGTTTGTTATCAGTACCAGGAAAAGTTTTCAACAGAGTTTTGCTGAACCGGATGAAAGACGCAGTAGACGCTCAACTTCGAGATCAACAGACTGGATTCCGTAAGAATCGGTCATGCACAGACCAAATTGAGACACTACGGATCGTCATCGAACAATCGGTTGAGTGGAACTCATCACTATACGTCAACTTCATTGACTATGAGAAGGTGTTTGACAGTGTGGATAGAAGAACCTCATAGAACCTTATATGACACTATGGAGTTCCTGAGAAGAGTGTCAACATTATCCGGAACTCATACGACGGACTACAGTGCGAAGTCATGCATGGAGGACAGTTGACAGATGCATTTCCAGTAAGGACAGGAGTCAGACAAGGTTACCGACTCTCCCTCTTTCTCTTTCTTCTGGTGATTGGCTGGATTATGGAGACCTCGACATGTGAGGGGATGCAAGGAATACAACGGACATCTAAGAATCAATCAGACGATTCGGACTTTGCAGATGACCTAGCCCTCCTATCTCATACACACGAGCAAATACAGATGAAGACAAAAAATGTAGCAGCAGCCTCTGCATCAATAGGCCCCAACATACACAAACAAAAAAGCAAGATCCTCAAATACAACACAGAGAACACCAACTCAATCACACTTGATGGAGAAACTCTGGAAGAGGTGGAAACATTCATGAACGTGGGAAGCATCATTGATAAACAAGGAGGATCGGATGCATATGTAAAGGCGAGAATTGGCAAAGCAAGGGCAGCATTTCTACAATTGAAGAACATATGGAACTCAAAACAACTCTCAACTAGTTTCAAGGTCAGAATCTTTAATACGAACGTCAAGACAGTCCTACTGTACGGAACTGAAACGTGGAGAACTACTACGACCATCATCAGGAAGGTACAAGTATTTATAAACAGTTGTCTACGCAAAATACTCAACATCCATTGGCCGGATACTATCAGCAACAGCGTTTTATGGGAGAGGACAAACCAGCTGCGAGCTGAAGAGGAAATTAGGAAAAGACGTTGGAAGTGGATCGGACATACATTGAGGAAATCACCAAACTGCGTCACGGGGCAAGCCCTAACTTGGAATAGTGAAGGGAAGCGGAAAAGAGGAAGGCCAAAGAACACATCATGCCGGGAGATTGGAGCAGACATGAAAGGGATGAGTACCTACTGGAAGGAACTGAAAAGGATTGCTCAGGACAGGGTTGAATGGAGGATACTAGTCTGCAGCCTATGCTCCTCCACGAGGGGTGACAGGCGTAAGTAAGTAAGGAAGATGATGCATGGTGACGAGTTCCATTCGACTGACAGTTCAACGATGATCCGAAGTGTCGAAATTTGACTAATGCATGACCTG